TGTCGCTTGAAGTTTCTCAGAAACGCTTAGTAATAACGGACGCAAAAACCAAAACACCGATTGGCCGCTTGGGAATTCTTTATTGTAACACCAACATATAAAAAATATTTCTACTAAGGTCTGTGAACAAATATTACAATAATAAATCACAAGATTACTTCTGACGGTTTGCTACTGACTTCTTTCTGAACAGCGACCGATGAGACGATAACTGTCGTATTGATGCCTCCGCGAAAATTGGGGAAGTTGGTTTTGAGCAAACAACCATGAATTGATCGTTCAATCTTCAACTACAGTGACAATAAATCTATCTGCAATCGTAACCACAAGCTTAATCCTGACCCTAACAATAATCCTAACCCGAATCATAACCGTAATTATAACCCTAATGCTAATTATAACCCTGATCCTAACCCTAAGCTGGTGAATAGCATTGGTATTTCAGCTAAGATAATGACAGGTGTCGTTAACCAACGTTTAGTATCCGTTCAAGGTCATTGGAGCATTCGCACTCCTGGGGAGCTATTGCTGAACTTCGCCGTATCCCTTTCCAAGACGAAATTTGGTTCAGGGACGATGAGACATGTGTTCTCTCTTGGTATTTTAGATAATGCTATGCCGTTTACTAAGTTGGATATCAGGAAAACCCTTCTTAATATCCATTGTAGCTGCTTTGGTCACCACTGTATAAGAGTGTCAGGGGAGGTCAAGTTAGCTGATGATTAGTATTATTATCAGACCCGCGAATCAACGGTGGACAGTAGACGTAGCAATCACTTATTTCAAAGATTTTCCACTTGACAAGGAGTTTGTAACCACACTGAAAAACAGTGAAGTTTATCCCACTAAGCAGAATCAATTTTCGAAGGAGTAATTTTACAAGTATCTTCACATTTCTGAGCTCCATCATGATCACAGTCGAGCACTGAAAAGCAATTAAGCTAACAGCAGCATTTCTTATGTATCTGTATGATATAAAAGAGCTGTGAACAACAAACACATACTTACAGTCGTTACATGTGTGTGCACATTCACTGACAGTGGATGTTAGGAGTTAATTGGAAATAGGCTTCAGTGTCTAGAAGTTGTGGTTTGTTAGCACATATCAACATAATATATATGTCTATAATCATTGGGGGGGGGGGGGAATTCACGCTTTCTTCATTAGCTTCGAACTTGTATCTCTTGAGTTCGAGGTCAGATATGCAGTGCTGCTAACGTTTTGTAATCATAACCATTCGTTTTAATGCTAAGGTGTCCACTTAAGTTGATTACGCTGTGATAGCTGATTTAGTTTTCGAATTATACACTTAGAAAACAAACTGAGTCAGTCAAGTTTACGGTGAAACACACAGCAGTATTTGGATTTACGATCTTCATTTAACATATTATAACGAAATCATAAATGCTGTGGCTAAGGTCTTTCTTACTCACTATAACAACATCAGAGTGTGTTATGTTCTTAGATTTGAGTTACTGCAGTTAATGTTTGTGCTTACACACACACACACACACACACACACACACACACTGTGTTATATGTCCCAATTTTTGGCTGGTGTAAAATAATTATAAAATAATAGACCCCAATGTAGCATTGGGAACATAATATTCAGCGAAGAAACTCATCTCAACAACGAATTTATTTCAGGATTTCATCATGAGCTGACATTAGTTAGAGAACCATTGGAAAACCTGGGAGTACTGGACAGTTGTTTCGTCCTAGATTGGGACTCTTCATCAGTACGCATCCACCGGGATTCGAACCCAGGACCTTCTGGTTACAAGGCGAGCTCGTATACCATTGAGCCACTGGGACCCGATCCAATGGTTCTTGAATTCTAACTTCTGCCAATTCATGTACTTTTGTCATCAAGACTAGGTAACATTTTGGATTTGTGATCACTTTTGTTCATCAAGGCGAATCCAGATCCCTTATCAGGTTTCGTAATTGTTATATATATTACGGCTTTCCCATAGCTCTTTCAAGTTCAAGAGTTCAATTGATGGTAAAAACCCGTAGATCTTTTTTCTGATGAATCCCAATGAATATCTAACAAAGAAAGAGCTATGGGAAAGCCGTAATATATATAACAATTACGAAACCTGATAAGGGATCTGGATTCGCCTTGATGAACAAAAGTGACTACAAATCCAAAATGTTACCTAGTCTTGATGACAAAAGTACATGAATTGGCAGAAGTTAGAATTCAAGGACCATTGGATCGGGTCCCAGTGGCTCAATGGTATACGAGCTCGCCTTGTAACCAGAAGGTCCTGGGTTCGAATCCCGGTGGATGCGTACTGATGAAGAGTCCCAATCTAGGACGAAACAACTGTCCAGTACTCCCAGGTTTTCCAATGGTTCTCTAACTAATGTCAGTTCATGATGAAATCCTGAAACCAATCTAATCCCTACAAACCAACACTTAAAACGAATTTATTATCAAGCTGTACAATCGTATGCATGTATATGGTTTTTCTCAAGAAATTATATCGGGTGTGGGAATTAGATTAAACGTGTGAATACATGAAATAATAATAGTAGTAGTATGAAATGCAATTAAAATATTTGTGATTATAATCATAGTTAAATGTCATATATAGAATAATACATAAGGTGTATAGATGTTGGAAACGGGTACATAATTATAGGATTAGCAGACGAATATAAAATGTTACATAAAATGGTGTGAAATTTGATAAGATAGACGTACATAGAACGGACAACTAACAAATTTTTGTAGTCGGATGCCTATTTTCAAGAAAAGGAACCTAATTCATTCACTTTGCCTTAGGATAAGGAAAATTTGTAGTTCTGATTGTGTTGACTCAGAACTCGACTTCTTAAAAGCCACACTCGCAGAAAACGGTTACCTTAACCGATTTATTGACAGAAACATGAAAGATAAGCAGTCTAAACTAGTCACCGACTCAGTTCCAAAGAAAACATTATTCATGAACTCGGAATTCAAAGGTGATCAAGCTTCAGATATGCTTGAAAATCGTCTCTCTAAAGCAGTCAGTAAGACGTCTTTTCCAGCAAAATTACATATGACGTTCACTAGACGCAAGTTGTTTTCTACTTCTGTAAAAGATAAGCTACCCCGTCTGGCGGCCTGCATGTGCCTCCATCGGTTCACATGCTCTTGTGGAGCAAAATACATTCTCCGTAGTCAGATGACGCCACCTTCCACACAGATACGAAAACATAATATTCCAGCTGCATGGTGTTACAAGGAGAAAGGAAGTGTATGCGAAGCTGTATTCTGGAACACCTGATCGACTTCTGTCACTCTGTCAACTCTGACCATGATTTTAAGATCATATATAGAATCCATGTTAATTTGCTGGCCGCGTTTTCTTCGTTACGGACTTCGGAAGACAGCTGAGGCCTTGACCATTCATGACTATAAGCCAGCCAGAACTTTGTGTACAATAGAAGTATGTACAATGCCTACTTCTGCTTTGGCCGTAGAGGGATAGACATTTATTTATTTATTTTGTTTACTTAGTTATTCTATGTACCTTTCCCTTATTACTACGATTATTATTATACACCTTATGTATTATTTTATATATGACATTAATTATTTTGCAGCTTGACATTAAACGATGATTATAATCATAAATATTTTAATTGCAATTCATACGATTATTATTTCTTGTATTCACACCTTTGATCTAATTCCTTTACTTGATACAATTTCTTAAAAAGCATACACACATATGACTGTACAGCTTGATAATAAATTCGTTGTTGAAAAGAGTCTGTTCAATGAATACTCTGTTCTTAAAATAACTATATTTTACAACGTAAAACAGACTGAGTGCAGAGTAGTTCATGTTGTAAGCAGCTGCCTGCTGAGGCAGTAGGTTTCGCTACAACTTGATTGGACGCACCTTTGACGCCCAACATTAAATATGCCAACCAAATTAGTCATTTGTAGAGTGTATACTGTATATACGATCTGTGCTCTACCATACAACAGACTAGTCTTATCTGCCATGAGATCATGAGAGCAGAAGGTGTCTGAGAGGAGAACAGTGATGTTCAGTCTTCAGTCTAGTCGCCTATTTCATTCAGTATCCGAGGTGGGGAAATCAATTGACGAGGTTGTGAAATTACATCGACTGAGATGGTTAGGACACATGTGTTACGAAAGAATGTCTAGACATCGCCTTCCACGACCGATGGGCAATGTTAGCTGACATAGGGTAAGGTTGGAAAAAAAGCTAGTTAGTGGCGGTCAAACGAAAACATGTCTTCATCAGTCAATGAAATCCACAATAGTTAGTTTAAGCCAGTCAGTCATGTAGGAAGGTGTAGACTTCCTGACTGGTTGGGGTGTGTCGGGGGGTGGGGGAGTGTGGCGACTTGAACTGCTGTGCACATCGGTGCAAAGTAGTTCTATGTTGAAAACAAACAGACAGACAGACAGACCAGTCAATAAATAAAACCACTTGAGACAAGGAAAAAAAGAGGCCAATTATATTTTCTTCAACGTTTTATTCACACTTAACAGAATCAAAGTGAGTAGTAGTTATTTTTAAGTAATTTATGTGCATAAATAATATCAATAGAAAATGCATTTGTTTGTTTAAATGCTTTGAGAGAGGGAGAGAGGCTAAGAGACAGGGATTGTGTACTCACTCATTCTAAGTATCATAATGAATAGATTGAATATATTGTGAATATTATATCATTCCATGATCGGGGGGGGGGTTGCATTCCTTTTCTTTTTCTCTGATCTTAATGTTGATTGCAGAACACCTTTTTGCTTAGTTATACAAAGTGGGAAGTAAGCAGGAGACGTATGCGATTCTCAGGTAAAAGCAAGCACTGATATCAAGCAACAAAATAGGAGGGGAAGGAAGGAAGAAGAAACGAAGGATTTGACAGGGTTTACAATTTATGAGTGAGCGCGGAAATTATGAATGACCATCCTAAAATCATAACAATAACAACAATAATAATGATAAACAAACAAGCAAAACTCTTAACTAGGAATTGCACATTCAAATGGACATAGGCAAAAAATCAAATCACTTCGATACAATTGGAAATGATTCGGTGGATTAGAGATAACATAACGACTAGCGCCTTCAAGAAGAAACTTTTGATGAGTCGTTAGTGGTGATGATGATGAATAGGATGATGGCGTAGTTTTCTTTGTTGAAATATCTCGAGATTTTTGTTGTTTATTCTGTTCATCGTCTTGTAGCTTCTGCTGTTGTCGTTGTTGTTGTTGATCAGTTATTTCTTCGGGTGAATACTCTTCAACACTAAGCGATTTTCGATTGGCTTGTAATGAATGTTTACGCAGCATTCTATCTACAGGTAGAGCACATGTGCTTAAACGTCGAGGTGGTGTTACACCATATTCTGAATTCCATACTTTTTGATTATCGCTTGACGGATTAGAGGGTTTTTTGTCATCATCAACGTTTCATTCATACTGCCTTCTAGTCTGAGTGAACTTGGAACAGTAACTAAACGATTAGGCGGATCAGATGGTGATGGATGACAAGAGAGACGATAAATCCCAAGGCATAGAATTCCATGTTCTCTGATAGCATGACAAAATAAATCACCATAACAACGAAATAAACGTTTATCACCATCATTATTAGATGGCTTTAGTAAACGTGGATCCATTAATGGAATTTGTTCAATTCTGGGTCGTTGACGTGTTTCATAAAAACCAGGAAAAAATAATAAGGAGATTCTATTCTTTTGAATTTTACTCGTCAATGAACGTCGTTTCCCACCTTTTGTTTGCCAATCATGAAAACCAATGAGACCGCCACCTTCAGCCAACCATTGTTCTAAAGCCGGTGTAACACCACCTGTGACAAGATGACGTATCAGTGTCATTGAATTACGATCAAAATAGGCTGTACTAGCAAGAACATCCAGAACAGAACTAGTAAAGGCTATACCTCTAGCGAATGGTGCTGTCAACGATGCACTGATCTGTACACCACCTGAATGATCTGGATCCAGGTAGTGGATATTATTGTCGGTCATTAATTCAGTAATCAGTGGTATCTCTGCACCACTACGACGTTTAATATTTTTTGAAAATATGTTGTTACTGTTGTTGTATCTAGAAAATGTTGCAAATTTCATAGCCCGTATATTCAGCGTGCATAATATCACCTCTTTATCAAGCATATATGGGTCATCGAGTTTAATTGTTCCTCTTGAGCTCAGTATAACACAAACTGAGGCATATTGTATACGTGCAGCTCTTAAATCGGCTCGAGACAATGGACTACCAGCGAGTGGATATACTTTAGGGAAATTAGCAATATTACACCATTCACGTTGGAGAAAATTTTTATCCCCAAGGAAGACAATTGTTCTCAATTGTGATGAATGATAATTACTTGCTCTTAATGGCATGACAAATGAATGTAAGCCAAGCATGGGGCATCTGGCTCTGCAAGAATACATACAAGAATATGATTGTATAAATCTTGTGATTTAATGATTGTTGATGAATTTGATGTGATTAGTTTATCCTCGAATTTTTGATGTTTACAATAGTAGTACATACCTGAAAGACAAGGAGTGAGAGAGAGAAAGGCGGACAAAATAAACAATACACAAACAATAAAATGCTCTAAGAGCAATGATAATAATAATAATAATCTACAAGTTGATAAAGTCGATTTGAAGGACTTTTAATACCGATAAACATGTAACGACAGAAGACTACGGCCAGCCTGGCAACAGATCATTTATTGAGGAAATCAAGAGATACTTATAGATTTTTATGTACATTATTATTAGCCACTTACAACGCGCCCGACAATACCAACAACAGAAGCAGAGCTACCAGTGAACATCAACCCCCCGGGGAAATCAGAAGTCCTAAAGGTAATCAAAATGCTTAAAGCTGGAAAAGCAGCAGGACCAGATGGAATCCAAGAAGTAGCACTGAAAATGAACCCAGAGACAACAGCGGACTTGATGACGCCATTACTGGAGGAGGTGTGGAAAGAGGGTAAAGTACCCGAGGATTGGAAGAACGGATACTTATTCAAACCTACCAAAGAAAGGAGACTTAAGTCAATGCAAGAACTGGCGCGGAATTGTGCTCCTGTTCATCCCAAGCAAAATACTAAGCCGCATCATCCTGGAGAGAATCAAACAAGACCTGGATGGAGAAATTTGATCGAACAAATTGGATTCAAGAGAAACAAATCATATAAGTAAAACTTGGGCACTGTGGTAGAGTATAATTCCATTGATTACTGAATCCTTGTTCATCGAGTCTACACCCAACACATGCAATAGGAATGACTCGTCACTCATACCTGAAATATGGAAAATACTATTACCAATTAAATCAAGTGAAAATCAAGAGAAAAACAATGGAACTATATAAATGAATTTAGGAAGTCGTGTGATTACCTTGATATGATTATGAGCAATAAATTGTGCTCGAAACGTCATCAGTTCATATAACTGTAAACACTGTGCGATTTATCAAAATAAAAATCTTATCTATAATGGAAGAAACAAATCATGTATTGATCAAATAGCCACACTACGGATCATCATTGAACAGAGCTTCGAATGGCAGTCACCTCTCTACGTCACTCAACTCCATCGACTTTGAAAAGGCCTTCGACAGCATAGCGTCGATCGAGAGGTGATTTGGCAAATACTTCGCTACTATGGGGTGCCGCCGACAATTATACATCTCATCCAACAGTTGTACGACAATGCTGCACGCCAAGTGATCCACAACGGGAATTCTACAGAATCCTTCGAAGTGAGGACGGGAGTAAGACAATCTGGCTGGCTGCCTACTATCACCAATGATTTTCCTGATTGCAGTAGATTGGGAAATGCGACAGACAGCGGGCAATGAGGAAACAGGCATAAAATGGACCACCCACACAAAAACAACTTGGAGGATCTGGACTTCGCCGATGATATATGTCTGATTTCCCACAAACTGGAAGATATGCAAGTGATGAAAATCAACAAGCTGGCAGAAGAAGCATCCAGAGAACATAGAGCTTCAGGTGAATATAGAGAAAACAGAGGTGATGAAGATTCCTGGCCAACACCAACAGCAACAGCAACAACAGACAACAATCAGCCAGCATAAATGGAAGGAACCTGAAAGAAAAATCTCTTTCACCTACCTACTTGGGAAGCATCGTTTCAACTACAGGCCAACCGAACTGACGAGGATATCAAAGCAAAGATCGGGAAAGCGACACAAGCTTTCATTACCCTCAAATCTGTGTGGAGGTAAACATTCGGCACTCAGCATGAAAAATAAGATCCGGATTTTCAACTCCAATGTGTGAAGTCATTGCTACTCACTATACGGATCAGAGACTTGGAGCGTCATAAAGAGCACCTCAAACAAACTACAGACCTTGATCAACAGGTAGCTGTCTTCGTTCAATACTCAAGATCAGATGACCAAAAAAGTCCAGCGACATGGAACTCTAGGAGAGAATCAACCAGGAACCGATTGTGCAACAGACCATCAAGTGACATCACAAAGCAGGCCATTGTTCGAGTGGAACCCGACAGAATGGTAAGCCGCAAGTTGGTCGTCCAAAGGTGACTTGTAGGAGGTCATGTGAAGACGAGATGAAGGCATGTGAGCAGACTTGGAGCCAGGTGAAAACTCCAGCAGAGAACCGAACGCGATGGAGACGCGCGGCTGAAGCCCTATGTTCCTCTAGGAATTAAAGGAAATAATAATAAACTGAATTTACTGGCCTGTCTTAAACCCAAAGGAATAGCGAAAGTTGGCTGTGAGACTAGCAGTCCTACACCGTAAATTAAAACTCTATTGTTCCTGAAACACAGGAAAACTAAACCTTTATTTGAGTTCTGGAATCGGGAAGACTTCAGATGAGACTAGCTACTGAAAGTTGTCAGGAAGCCAGTCAGTCGAAGTATCTACTTTCGATGAAAAGAAAAGTAAGCTAAGGGACATGGAGTGATTGTAGCATCACATTTTGAAGCCAGTAAAGTAGTTCAGATTTCAGAAGACATAAAAAGGTATGAAAAGAAGTGGACTCCTGATATGTATCCACATATATATTTATGTGTGTGTGTGCATGTTGGTCTCTCTTTCTGTTTGCTCGGTTAGTCTGTGACCACTTCACTTGTATGAACTTGTCTCCTTTAATAATGTGTATTCTCCTTATATTATATTATATATAATATGAGTGTTTGTTGACAGTCCGTTGCTTGGTGACATATATCCATATATGTTTGTTGGCATGTCTGCTATATTCGCTATGTATAATTGGATCGACACTCCATTATAATTAGCCATTCATGTTAAGACTGTCTAATGATTTTTCCCACGCTTGTCTGAATTATTTATATATATTCGCATTCACAATTTGTGTGAACTACTTTACAACTACTTTACTTACTTATCACTTTGGTGTGAGACCATTTATTTTCGTCTCCTTGTGTTTCGACAATAGAAGTATCATCGCAAACCTAGTGGTCTTCTGATTTCCGCCTTCTCGCGTCAGGACTATTAGTTTCTCGACCAGTCCATAACAATAATTTAGCGACGAGTACATAACAACTCCACAGTTTGCTCAATGAAGGAGTTAGTTATCTACTCCAGTCACCCAGATATGACAACTACAAACAAAACTGACGTTGTGACTATCATGATATTAAGAACACAATATTCAGCGAAGAGACTCTTTTGAGCAACGAATTTATTATCAAGCTGTACAATTGTATATATATGGGTTGTTTTAAGAAATTATATCCGGTGAGCAAGGTACATCGGCCGTAGTCAGAGGACGCCACTTTCCACACAGATACGAGAACATAATATTCCAGCTGCATGGGGAAAGGAAGTGTATGCGAAGCTCTATTCTGGAACACCTGATCGACTTCTGTCACTCTGTCAACTCTGACCATGATTTCAAGATCATATATAAAATCCATGTTAATTTGCTGGCCGCGTTTTCTTCGTTACAGACTTCGGAAGACAGCTGAGGCCTTGGCCGCTCATGACTATAAGCCAGCCAGAACTTTGTGTATAAAAGAAGCATGTACAATCCCTCCTTCTGCCTTAGCCGTAGAGGGATAGACATTTATTTATTTACTTTGTTTATTTAGTTATTCTAGGTACGTTACGCTTATTACTACGATTATTATTATTATTATCGTTAGTATTATTACTATTCTCACTCTGAATTGTTTCCACTTGACCCAGTTGTCATTCTAAACCCCAAAATTACTAATTTTTATATTTTTCATTTTACAATATTGAATTCTGTATTACCAAATTTCACACCATGTTACGTAACATCTTAAATTCGTCTACTAATCCTATAATTATGTACCCCTTTCCAACATCTATACACTTGTCTTATGTATTATTCTGTATATGGAATTAATTGTTTTGCTACTTGACATTAAACTATGATTATAATCACAAATATTTTAATTGCATTTCATACTACTATTACTATTATTATGTTATGTATTCGCTCACACCTTTGACCTAATTCCCTTATCGGATATAATTTCTTAAAAACCATAAACATATTTACGATTGTACAGCTAGATAATAAGCTCGTTATCAAAAACAATCTCTTCGCCGACGAATATTGTGTTCTTAATGCTATAATGGGAATTATTAAATTACTATCATGATATCACTAGTAGCGTCGAATACTCTTGTTATGTAATGAGAACGAATCTCTTCCATGATTATGCCGCTAAACCCTCTCTGATCATCTATTCAGAATGTAAGGCACTAACTATTACGAGAGCTAATCTGATGCTCACTAGTAAATGACTACAGGATGAAGTCTCCTGGAGTTTGAGTGATTTAGTCGGAACTACTGAGATCCACCAGGTTGGATGTAAGGAGAAACAATCACCAGATGGGATGGGATTAGCTAGTGACTGAGCTCAAATCACAAACGAAAAATACTTGAAAACTCGGCAGATAAGAGTATTTCATACAGATCACAGAAATGTGTGACCAATCGCCATTTCTAGGATTCTTATAATACACATTTGAATTAATAAACCACCCATTTTTATATCGCTTAAAACAAAATATTTACAGCATTTACCTGTAATATCAAATTCATTTGCCGGTGAGATAACAGACATTCTTGACTGAATTTCTGTATCACTCAGCCGTCTAGGCTGTGTTCCACTTTTTGCATCATGATAGTGTTCTTCTGTATCATAAGCTGATTGTAGACTACTTCTACGTGATAGTGTTCTATTCTTCAGAGTCCCTGCAACTCCAGTCGACTCATTCCCTGTTCATGTTTACGAAGTAATACAGTGTTGTCAACACGGTTTTGTTCTTCAATTTCTTTCTCCGTCACTGTTGGAGAATCAGTGGTTGGTGTTTTCTCAGACTCTTCTACTAATTCTGGTATTGCTGGACATAAATTTACATTACTCGACAGTTCTTCTTCTTTATCACTTCGATGTGACTTTGTTGATTGAGGATGATATGAGTCTCTTTTGAATTTGAAAAGCGCGCTGGCGCGAATTTTTAAACTTGACTTTTGTGATTTCAATTGACATGAACAAGGTTTAATGTTAGCTGTAGGATATTGTGTAAGTGATGAATTATCATCATCGTTGTCGTTTTTATTATTATTATTATCATCATTATTATTGACATGACAGGTTAGACAATAAAATGAGACTTTATTAGCATTTTCTTGTGAATCACAAATAAAAAATCCTACACTACCATAATTAATGATAACATTTTTATCAAGAGTCGGTGAAACAGCCAGGTAGTATTTATTCTCATTGATATCTTCATCCTCGTCGTTATCTCCATTCTCGTCGTCATCATCTTCATCACCATCACCATCACCATCCTCCCCGCCCTCGTCAGCATCGTCACCATCATCCTGCAAAAATATTGACATGACTACCAGGTGAAGTGAAATCGCTGATATTCTACTCACCGACTGCAGATCTGGTATTTTAGCTACTACAGCAATCAATAATAAGTCCAGATACTTTCGACAGAGAATAGCAGCATCAGTGAAGTGTAAACCGTCGAATGCCATTGAAAATTTAGCTGAATAAATTTCCATACTAGCACCTTGTAAATAATTATAAACCCAATTATCTGAATCTAATAGTAGTGAACTAGTTTGATAGCCAATCAACGATTCAGTATCCAGGAGTTTTGGTGATGTCGACACTGAATACTGCATTGATGTCGGTCTAGAGTCAGTTGTTGATGACAGATGGTGGTGGTGGTGGTGCTGGACTCCACTGGCTTTAGGTTTAAACAATGATGTCACCATTCGTGGAAGTTTACTTAACCATTTCCTTGTTCTTCCTTTATCTTTACTAGTGAAAGATGGAACTTGTGAACAATGTCGACTGTCAGTAGTAGTCAATGGTTTTGGTGTAGATGTAGGCGGTTTGCGTAGAACCACACTGTTAGAAGTTGAAGCTAATGGATTCGTTTGTGATGGAGAAGGCGATTTATTATTAAGGATGTTGCGTTGTTTTTTTCCAACCTTTGGTTGATTCACATAAATTTTAGCGAATTTTGCAGCTTCTTTAAGTCCACGTATAGAATGCATTGTAAATAGATTGGTAACAAGGGTTGAAAAACCTGGAGCAATACAACTTTGAGCTAAAAAGCCTAATTTCAGTTCACTGAAACAAACGATTTCATCACCACTATCCCAATTCCAATAGGGACTGTTCAATAGATATGCCTAGTGAAATAAAGAAAAGGTTGGATTCAAAATTAGCCAGCTAAACAGTTTGCAAAATAAAATTATTCATAAATGCATAGTAGTCCTGTGGTGAGAGCTACCTGCTAGCTAAAACTGGTAGACAGCAATTTACGTCAATGTTTACTTCCTAAATCTTGGTCATAAGAAACAAAAAACAAGAACAAAGACAAATTCAACAACCAATCACAGCAGACTTGGCGTGGGCGGATACGATTTGCAGATATATGGTCTGACCTTCAAATAAACGGCCATAAAGAGATGACGGGATAACCTTCAGCGGGAAAACAACCAATCAGAAGGCGTTATCTCTCTGCTAACAATAACGCTAATAATAATGTACATAAAAATCTATAAATATCTGTTGATTTTTCAATAAACGATCTGTTGCCTGGCGCTTATCTTCTGTCGTTACATTTGGTGTTGCTGCCTACTGGAAAATGGAAAGCCTATGCCCTGCAGTTTTTGAAGAAGGAGGCATATTGATCTTCTAGCAGAACTTCGAGGCTATTGCACAGTCGAGTGGCGTTCAGAATCTGTCAGCGATGAGGCTGGTACTTGGAACGCTGGCTGGGAAATCGGGCGAAGGTAGCATATGAAAGTGTAAGGAGAAACACCGACGAATGCGCGCCAGGGTTAGGCAAACAGCTTCCAAAGTGGGAAGGATCACACATGATCACCGTGAGACGGGGCCATGTAGATACGATCGCTTATATAGACAAAGAGAAACAGGTGAACGTCAACGAGCGCTGGAATTCCAGACAGCAAGACAAATGAACAAGGCTACCAGAACCAAGAAGACCGAACCAACTTCAGTTGAAAGTCTTTGGCAGAGGTGGGGAGTGAATGTGGTAAGACTGTTTGCAATATGAAATTGTAGACAACAATTTACGTCAATGTTCACGTCCCGAATCGGGGTCATGAGAACAAATAACAACAACAAAGCTTAACCTTGGGGAATCCAACAACCAAACACATCACACTTAACGCGTGGAAATACGATTCGCAGATATATGGCTTAACCTCCTAAGAAACGGCTACAAGCATTACAGAATAATCTTGGGTGAGAAAAAAACCGACCAGAACACGTTGCTTCTCCGCTAATAATAAGGCTAATATTAATGCACATAAAAATCTATAAATATCTGTTGATTTTCTCAATAAACGATCTGTTGCCTGGCGCTTGTCTTCTGTCGTTACAGAAGATTCGCCAGCTACTTAGGAGGTCTAGGTTCACTCCCCGGTCGACACTCTTAGAAAACCTAGCATAGTTTATTAGCTGACAGTACTTTCTGTAGGAAAAGATGGGTGGGCCTAGGGCTAGCAACCCCACCGCCACGTAGAAACAACCCTCCCCTACTGAAACACTTCAAGTTCCACTCGAAAGGCAAAAGAGTGACAGTAAATTCGTTTTACTAAAATGTAATTTGAAAATTTCTATTTAAATGTTTAGAAAGGACAGTCAATTGAATGAAGTAATACATTCCTTTTGAATCAGATCCTTTCTAACTGCTCTACACACTATTATTAGTATTGCTCCCTTAGGTTTCGAGTGATCTTTGCAGTCTATTTCAGCTAGCTACACACGACTACTCATAAACCCTCATCCTCTGCTAACATACCTGCGTCAGTGGCACAGAGGTAGAATGCTCGCCAACCAATGATTGCTGCGGTTCAGGGCCGGATTCGACCCCCCGCCACCAACGTTCTCCCTTACCTCGCTAAACCAGTAATAAAACCGGTAAAGAGGGAAGGTCGGGTATGAGACTACCAATTTCATCCCGTAGAAATAAATAACACTACTACAGAGGCTTCAAAACTATAGCTTGAAGCTCTGTGTAAAGGGGTAAAAGAAAAAAGAATTCTAAGATAATCTCCTCAACATCACCCTCGAATCCACACTCAACTCCTCATTAACCAATTAGGTTTCATTCCAAGGTGTGGTTAGCTATGTCACTCAATAGTCTTCTTAGTGTGTGTGTGTTCGACCTATCTCCATTTTCTTAGACACATTTGTTGGCCAACTGGTTTTTTGGTTGTTTCGTTCCCAGAGTACATTTTCACTTAATATCTTTTCTGACCAGGTATCTGATCCTCAGTGTAGAGAGTAAAGGCAATGGTTGATGAAAGTCGACTGTAGCCTCTTGCAAATGCTTTATACATACATTTATATATGCATATGTACTGCTCATCAGTCCGCCCCGTCCTCCTTTATGGTTGTGAGACCTGGCCACTGAGAGTGGAAGACATGAAAAGACTAGCTGTCTTTGATCATAGGTGCCTGCGCTCTATTTCCCGTGTAAAGTGGTATAAGAAGGTGAGCAACATTGAGGTTAGACGTAGAGTTCTATGTAAACAGGGGAAATCAATCGACGAAGTCGTGAAGTTACAAAGACTGAGATGGTTAGGACATGTGTTACGTATGCCAAGCCATCGCCTCCCTCGACGAGCAATGTTAGCGGATATAGGGTCAGGCTGGAAAAAAGCTAGCGGCGGTCAAACAAAAACTTGGCTGCACCAGTCAATGAAATCCACAACAGTTGGTCTAAGCCACGTAGGAAGGTGTAGACCTCATGGTTGGGGTCCTCGGGACGGTAAAAATCTATGGTTGGAAACAATTGGTGACATGGCTCAAAATCGTTCTCAGTGGCGCAGATGCATCCACTCCTTGTGACTTATGATCTCCACCAATGAAACTGTTTTGTTCTTCGTTATTACTCTTCCTTTGTCTCACACCTCTGCTTACTGTTTCTATTATGCTTTTCTTGTACTTTCTTCTCTTGCTTCGCGTGCTACACGGAGTGTGGCGACTTGAACTGTCGCACATATGTGCAGAGTTCTATGTCGAAAACAGACAGACAGACAGACATATGTCAAATCGATCCTTCTATTCGGGTGAGAAGCTTCGCCAGGGTGTGATGAGAAGGATTTCCAACAGTCTGTTGAAGACTTTCATCAACAGCTGCCATCTTGGCTGGCTGACTTCCATACTGAAGATCAAATGGCTGGAGCGAGAAAGAATTAGTAACAAGAAACTCTGGCTGGCAAAGAACCAACAGGCGAGAGACGATGGCTCAACAAATATGCATGAGAATATGGAGATGGGTCGGTCGGGCATACGGTGAAGAAACTATAGAATGACATCGTGCACAATGCAGGCCATCTCTCGAGTGAAATCCAAGTGGGCAGCGACGAGTGGGTCGTTAGTGCAAGGGTGACATGGAGGAGATCGTGTGGAGAAAGAGAGATGAGAGAGTTTGGTCAGTTGTGGCCCTAGCTGGATAGAACGGCAGAAAAGAGAAGAAAGTGGAGATATGTTGTTGAAGCCCTATGTTCCACTCGGAACCCAAGGAAACTATATATATATCAATTAAATGTGACAGAATTGAACTACGGATTGTTTTTGTCTGTCCTCTGCCAAACCACCACGATGGGAGATGTTCACTAACACGTTAGCTGGATAAGCTGTCTAGTAGTACGCCCAACATAACTGTCACCGCAGGTGCAGTTGAATTGATAAATACACATAGATGTGGCAAAACTACCTAGCTATCTATCCTTCGTTTGCGTCCCAATCATTCGTCCACTAGAGAATGACAAACATAGGTGTGCTGCGTAAAATGTTCTACGTGTGCTCCTTGAAAGTCTTTGGAATAGAATCTCACTAGATAAGTCCCCATTAAATTGTAACTTAATAAATAGAGGTTTCTTATGTGCAATCAGAGTCACAGGTTTTTTCTCTGATGGTTTCACATATTTCTTTATGAAACTATTCGGATAGCCCATCTCCGTCAAGGAATCGTGAATATATTCAAATTCCTTTTGTAAGAGGTCATCCGTACATATCTTCCTTGCTCTACTCGCGAGACATTTTACAAGATTCCTTTTATATTTAATGGGCACGTAACCAAGGAAGTGTGTGTATTGCCCTGTGAATGTGCTTTTTCTGTACACACTTCTCCCAAGTGACCCATCTTCTCTCCTACTTAGCAAGACATCCAGGAAATGTAGTTTATTCTCCTGCTCCTCTTCACAGGTAAAGGTAAGCGAAGGGTGGATGTTGTTGAATTTAAGTAACAATTCGTCTGTGTTAACCTTCTCATCAGCTAAGATAAATGTATCATCGACATATCGGTAATATATATTCAACTCCTTGATGGTATCCTTCAATTTCCCGTTTTCAAGTTTTGCGAGAAAGAAGTCAGCTAATATTGGGCCTAATGGTGAACCCATAGCTATTCCATCTCATTTTTTCATCCTTATTATGATAAGACCGTTATTATTATTATGATTATTACTATTAATATTATCATTACCACTATTATGACTAATTACACAATTTATATTCACCATCGTATTATCCCATAGACAAAACACCATGATTGGTTTATATTTGAATTTTTATTTGTAAACTTATACATATTAGAGTTAAGCCTGATAATATATATATCCTGTCATTGAGTTTTGCGTCATTTTAGGCTCCACACTGATATATCGATTTTTACATGAAAATTACACCAATCATGTGTTTATCGATTTACGGTATAAGGGCGGGTAAATTTAAGAGAATAAAAGTCATCAAAACAATTGACTAAAACATTATTAGCAACAAGGTATTTCAGTATTGTGGCGAAGGAGGCGGTAGGTTAGGTAGTAGTTAATTCTTAGGGGTCGATTGATGGAATGAATTACGTAAGAATATTAAAATGCAGAATGAGTTAATTGAATTAGGTAGAATAGTAATAATGATAAATAAAATAATGGTGTCAAATGATATTTACAAGTGAAGGGGAAAAATCATGCATAAGACATTATACATATATATCACATGTGTAATAATCATGGCAAAGAAAGAAGCTGAACAAATTTCTGCCGAACACAGATTTTGCGTGACTAGAGGAATTCCGTTTACGGGTGTTTTATGTAAAAGTTTTACTCATACAGCATGCAAGAAGTTGAATGAAATACGACAAATAATTCTA